CGTCAGCCTCTGCTGCGCATGCGCCTGAAATCGTTGCCAATCTTCTTTATCTGCGTGCTATTTGAGCATGTGCTACCTAAATGAATGCTGATTGGCTGCTTGGATCTGTTCTTCTGCACCTTATTTCTGGTCTGGTGACATGCATGCTGCCACCTGAGTGACACCGGTGTGATGAGCCGCTGAGATCGCGGTGACTTTTGATTGACTGTGTAACGTAACGCTGTGCTCGCGCGTGCACCAAGTGCAGGAAGCCGATTGCGACCATTTCCATCGAGTGTGAATGTAAAAATCTGTTCCATCCTGATTGTATCAAGCCGTACTCCGTGATCAAGTACGCGGACCACTGCTATAAAGCTCTGGTAACGTCTTTGGCCAATCCGCCTACGCCGCCGATTGAAAACAGTATGCAATCGTTTGACTTCACGGATATGGCTTCTCCTTCAAATGCACAACCGCAGTCCACAGATGCACTCCTAAGGTCGATTCTGTTTAAAATTGAGGAATCAGACAGAAAATTGGCTGTCAGACTGGAAGAATCCGACAAAAAATTTGCTGCCAGATTGGAGGAATCCAACAAAATATTTGCCGCCAGTTTGGAGGAATCCAACAAAATATTTGCTGCCAGATTAGACGAATTGGACAGGAAGTTCACTGCCGGATTCGGAAATTCGGTTGAGAAGCTGACGGCTTTCATTGATCGTCAGGAGGCTGTTAACGTGGATTTTGCGCGCAGTTTGAGCCAGATTTCTGACGTTCTGGGTACAGTCGAGTGTCATGGCGAGAGGATTTCGGCGTTGGAGGCTCGGAGTGCGCAGCCGTCGAGCTCTCGTCGCGCTGTCGATGAGTCATTTGCTGCGTCGGCGGTCTCCAGAACGTCGAGCATTATCGTCTCGGGTATTCCAAGCGAGTTCACCGATTCATCCTGCGAAATAGCCAAGTGCGTTTTTGTGGCGCTGGGCATTCCTCAAATGATCTCCGACGTTCTGGAGACCCGCGACGGGGCAAGGCGCACCGTGTCGGTCGCGGTTGGCGAGTCGTCTGGCGGTGTTCCGGCTGCTGATGATGGAACCGTGGCGGCCGGTCGCAAAAGGTCGATCATTGTGGCGCTCATGTCAATTGAGATTCGGGATCATGTTCTCAGAGCGACGCGTGGTAAGCGGCAACCGGCGATAAATGACGTTTTTGCGAGGAATATCCCGAATAATGTTTACGTGAACGAGCTACTTCCGACTGACACTTATAATCTGTTGCGTCGAACAAGAGTTAAGGCTAGGCAGTCTTCCTACAGGCATGTATGGAGCAGGGACGGTCGGATTTTTGTCCATAGAGAACAGGGGCAGCCTCCTATAATAATTAATTCTGATGCTGATTTAGACAAACTTCAATGACCTGTGGCTGTCGCCGGTCGGGTTCCTGCTGCTTCACATGGTTGTCTCAAGATTGCTCATGTAAACGCCAGCTCCCTCCCTGCTCATCTCGAGTCGTTTCAAGCCCTTTTAGCATCTAAATTTTTTCACATTGTCTCTATTTCCGAGACTTGGCTTCATTCTCATATTTCTGATGATCTGATGCAAATTGCCGGGTATTATTTTCTACGTGCCGACAGAGAGGGCAGGGAGGGTGGTGGAGTGGCCTGCTGTATACACGAGTCGCTCAAGGCGCGTGTTCTCGCAGCATCGCCTTCTGCATTCTCGAATTCACCTGAGTATCTCATTCTCGATGTTCGTGATGGCACACGCGAGCCTCTTTTATTCACCTCAATGTACCGTCGACCGAAGGGGCGAAATTTCAGCGATTATGTCAGCACACTCACTGAAGTCTCGCATAACTATAAAAACATTATAATCACCGATGACTTAAACTGCAATCTCCTCACCTCTTCATATGAATCTAATCACTTGAGAGACGTGGTTTCGCAATTGTCGCTCAACATCGTTGAGTCAAAGTCGACCTTTCATACCGGCTCCTCTGATTCTTGGCTTGACGTCTTCATAGTCGATAGCCCGGATAAAGTGTTATCATTTCATAAGTCCGAAGCTCCCTTTATTAATGGTCATGATTTAATCGAGTTAACATATTCGTTTGAGGTTCCCTCGTTCGGGAGCCGGACTTTAGTGAGGCGCTGTTACAAGAACTTTGAAAAACAGGATTTTATCGAAACGCTCACTACGAAGCTATCTACGTCTTTTCCACACGACTTCGCCCAGATAAAACCTAGCGAACTTGATGTTGACAATATTTTGAACACCGTTACCAGCGATTTCACTGCCGCCTTAGACATGTACGCTCCAATTCATACTTTCCGAGTAACTCGTCCCTCAGCGCCTTGGCTTTCGGATGCTCTCACTGGCATGATCCGTCACCGAAATCGGCTTTATAACATTGCGCGCAGATCAGGAAATATACTCGATTTCCATATCTATAGGCTCTATAAAAACAATCTCACCATCGACTTAAAGAGAGCGAGGGAGCGGTTCTTCGAGGAGAGATTAAGATCGGTTTCTGATCCGTCAAGGATGTGGCGCGAGCTTTCTAATCTGGGCCTCATACGATCGCCTCTCTCTACTCTACTTAGCTTTTTTTCGCGCGACGAACTTAACACCTACTATGGGTGCGGCCCAGTTGCTACTTTTAAATGCTACCAATGCTTTCGCTTCCAACGCTATCATAAAACGGTCCACTAGCGCTACCAATGCTACTAACGCTACGCAAGTGGACCAGATCACAGATCATCTTGTTCCATTATCCACGGTGAATTTGATTTAAAAAGATGGATTTACCGGTAATGTTAATAAATATTTGGGACATTTACTATAATATTCCATCATATGTATACGAAGATGACGAAGAATTTATGCTTGCATTTATAAACTCGCAAGCTTTAAAACGTAAATCTCGATACAACATACCGAGAATAGAAGGTTACGTAGAACGTATTGTACCGTTACTTAGTGCAATGGAATTCAAGAGTCATTTCAGGTAAAGTCTTCATTTCCTTTTATTTCTCATGTACAATAATAATAATAATCATCATTATGCAAGAATCATTTCTCATTATTTCATTATCACCATCTACTTTTTAGAATGCTGCCACAAACGTTCGAATTTATCTTGGAAGAGATTGCAGAGCAACTACAAAGGACTACAAGTGGGAATGAAATGATATCTCCAAAAAAACAATTTTTAATTGCTTTGTGGCGTATGGCAACGCCAGATTCATATAGGTATAAACTACTCTACACTTATATTACTAATATTTATTTTAATACATTATCGTCATTTTTTAAACTTGAATCATTATTTCAGATCAATACACTCCAGATTTGGAGTGGGAAAAGCCACAGCCATTAGAGCAGTACGTCGAGTTACTCGTACGTTATGTTGTCTTGCATCGAGATTCATACAATGGCCGTCAGAAGGGAGGATTGAAAGAATTATGCAGGGTTTCTCCGAAATTGGTGCTTTTCCAAGAACTATTGGAGCAATTGATGGCACACATATCAATATACCAGCTCCAAAAGAAAATCCTGAGGCTTATGTAAATAGGAAAGGCCATCACTCTATTCAAGCCCAAGTTAATATTTTTTATTTTCATTGTTATTACTTGTAAAGAATTGAGTGCCTCTGAGCATAGACTTTTGTGCAAGCGCATAAACATATACATGAGAAAATGGATTGGTCTATTTTCTTATGCATTTGCTAATAGACCTTTATGCATATGCTTATGCGCTTATATCTATACAGATATACTTTAACTATTTTTTGATTGCAGGTAGTTTGTGATCATACGCGTCTCTTCACACACGTATATGTTGGAAATGTTGGATCCGTACATGACGCACGTGTTTTTCGATTATCAGGATTGCAAAATTACATCGCAGACCCAGCTAAATTTCCTAATGACAGCCATCTAATTGGAGATGCTGCTTACCCTCTTTTAACTTAATTGATGGTGCCATATACAGACAACGGTCATCTCACGCAACGTGAAAAAAATTATAATTTCTGTCTGTCTTCTTCTCGCATGGTTGTGGAAAGAGCTATTGGTTTGCTCAAGGGACGCTGGAAAAGCATTCTTCATTATTTGGCAATGGAATCTGTCAAACAAATTCCTTATTATTTTCTAGCATGTTGTGTACTGCACAACATATGTTTGATCAGAAATGACGACCTGGAGGCATTGCTAGTGATTAATGAAGAAGCAGCATATCCTCTACAAGAAGTAGAAGGTCGAGTACATAACAGAGCTGAAGTCAAAGCAAAGAGGAATCTAATATGTGCAAGACTTCGTTTAAGAGAAATATAGATGATCTATATTTTTTGTTTGTGATAAATGATTATAATGTAAAAGAAATTACATAATATTAATGAAATAAAATCACATTTTTTAATTATCAAAAACTAATTTTATTTTTAAATGCATTTTACATTAACTTGAAATATAATATTAATATGTACTAACTATTCACTCTGATATCACAATACTTTGTATAATAAACTTTTAGTGTAGAATACTACTAAATTAGGTGATACCTTTATACGCAATTTATGTTATAAAATTGAATTTTTTTTTATTATAAATTATATTTCTTGTGATGTAACAAAATAAAAATAATCACGAAATAATTCCACTGGTTGCGATATATTATTGTTAATGTAATTACTATTAACCCTTTGCGGATGAATGCCGACAAATAAGAAGTATAAGGCTGAGATTTCATATATCCGACAATAATATTGTTGTATATAGGCGATAGGCTGTAAGATAGAAAATTTCTCGAGTCTTTATAAATTTTCTATTCTGCAGCCAATCGCCTATGTCCGACAATGTCGTTGTCGGATGTATGTAATCTTAGTCTAATACAGTTTATTTGGTGGCATTCTTCCACAAAGGATAAATAAAAACAAAAAATACAATATTAAAATTACATCTAAACAAATCACAGAATCGCATCACAATAAATTACATCACAGAAAAGTAAAACGTATCAGTAAGTTTTTCATTGCTTATCTTTGTTAGCAATTTTTTCTAAAAGACCTAATAATCGGTCTTGTCTTATCAAAGTATCTTCGTGCATTTTCCTTCTTTCTTCTTTATTTTCCTGCACAATTGTAATAAGTTTTTCTAATGCAGTCTCTTCATTTACTTTTTGACCTAAATAAAAAAGAAAACAAAAATTGTCATATTATAAACAATTAAATTTGTGAAATCTTTTAATTTTGACTATAAATGATTCTCACGCTTTCGAGGTTTTTCAGAAATACAAGGAGATGATCTTGGACCTGGAGAGCTGTTGCTGTTGCTGGACGAAGGACCAGGAGACGGCAGTATACTATCAGAAGTATCCAAAGTTAGAACTGACTTGACCCATGGTTTGTGCCCAAACATTTCATCCATAAGCTGCGAAATACCAGCTCATAATCCTATTCACACACACTTTATTCTAAATTTTACAATAAATAAATAGTAAAGTTATTTTACCTCGAAGTACGACCAAGTACATCTATTGTTACCACTTTTATTGTTATGATCTTTGATATTTTTGTATGTCTTTCGTAAACCGTTAAATTTGCTTTTACATTGCAATCCTGTAATATTGTAGGATTGTTCCTGCAATTTTTGAGAAATTATTTCCCAAAACTTTTTTACAGATACTTTCCCTGTATTCAATAGGTATTCATGCTGCTTATATTCTGCCAATAACAATCTAACAGCTTCGTCAATCCATCTAAATCCATCTAAAAGTAAATGTTACATTGTATAAAATTTCATTCATCAAAACTTAACGTGACATATATACGGAAACATAAAGTACTTACCATTAGAGGCTTCACCGACATTGGCCGTTTCTTCTTCCATGCTATTATTATTATTCTCTTCTGCTTTTGCTTTTTCAAACAATTGCGTGGTATATGTTAAATCTGAAAAAATAAAAAAAATACCAACAATTTGCAAACAAATAACCTATAAATATATTCCAAATTAGAAAGATACTAATAATATGATACCAATAATACCCAATAAGATACTAATAATACCCAATATATATTCATAATTTAATATTTACCTGTTGAAGCACGAGCAAATTCATTTTCAGTGAGGTTAAACACATATGTGACACCTGTTCCCTCATCAATAAGCTGTAATTCCGGCATTTTTAATAAATTTTTACACCTATCACGGCCACACTTTTAATATTTCCCGCTAATGTCCGAAATGCTTCCGATAACCTACTTCTTGAGGTGAGGCGTTTGTAGCACGGTGGAAGCGAAAACAGTGACGTCATTGATGACGTGTAAGATTTGCCGAGAGCGCTCTGAAGCGCCATGTGGACCATCCATAGCGCTGCTACGAATGCTCTGTAGCGTTTGAAGCAACAACTGGACCGCACCCTATGCCTCTCTCTCGAATTGCTATTTCCCTTGTTCGCAGTCACAATTTTCTGACTTGATACTATCAATTGTGCCCGAAGAGCCGCTATTCACGTTTTCACAAATAACGTTTGATGGTCTGCGTTCAACAATGAATTCATCATCTACTTCCTTCGCCTCGGGTTACGATCAGTTGCCACTTGCCACTCTCCATCATTGCCTTGGCCTTGCCTCATATAGTAAATCTTGTAATATCACTCTCCAATAGTTGCATCAATCTTGGATATTTTCCTTCGCTCTGGAAGCGCGCTATAGTTCACCCACTTTCCAAAATCAAGTCACCATCCTCTCCTTCCGACACGAGACCTATTGCTAATTTGTGCGAACTTTCCAAGTTGTTTGAGAAAATTTTGCATAGACAAATAGTGGACTTTATCAACACCAATCATATTCTTGATGATCGACAGTCAGGCTTCTGTAAGGGTTACTCCACCCAGTCTGCCCTTTTAAGAATATTCCATGACATTAAGAGCGGCCTTCACGTGGGCGAGGTTCTAATTCTGGTCCTTTTTGACTTTAGCAAGGATTTCGATACGGTCTCGCATCTTTTATTGCTGACCAAACTCAGGAAACTGGGGTTATCCGATCTAGCCCTGAAATTGATCTTCTCTTACCTCACGGGTCGCTCTCAAGCGGTTGTCGATCTCGAGGGTAGTTTCTCAGATTGTCTACCTGTCACTTCTGGTGTTCCGCAAGGATTCGTTTTGGGTCCTCTCCTTTTCTTCCTCTTTATTAACGATATTAGCGCTTTTCTTAGATTTACTGAGCATATGATATTTTCCGACGATACACAAATTTATCGCAGGTGTCTCGTCAGTCAATTGAATGCTGCCTTGCAGCTTGTGGCACATGATGTGGGTGTCATATTCGAATTTGCCGCATCTAATGGGTTGTCTCTCAATCTTGGTAAATCCAAGGTTTTAATACTCGGCAGCAGGCGGTATGTTCGACAGATAAATCTTAAAGACTTACCCCTTATTTCCGTTAATGGCACCTCCATTCCGTTCGTTGCCGAGACACGTAACTTGGGTGTTATCATGAACTCCGACCTATCTTGGGATAGCCACGTCTCTCACATTTCTAAGAGGGTACATTTTACGCTGCACAAGCTAAAATTTTATAAAAACTCCCTATCACTTGAGCTTTGTGTAAAACTGGTGACCGCTTTGATTTGGCTTCTGCTGGACTACTGTTCACTCATGTACAATGATGTCACCGATGAGCTCAACACCAAACTTCAACGACTTATTAATTGTACAATTCGGTTTATTTATAATCTTAGACGTGACGAACACATCACGCCTTATCGACACCGATTAGGGTGGTTGTCTGTAAAAAATAGACGCCTTTACTTTCTCGGCATCAAAATGTTCAAGATATTCCATGGCATGTCTCCTAGTTATGTCTCTGAAATTTTTACTAAACCAGATCCCTCAATTGTCGCGGCTAGTACAACCGCATACTTTTCACCTTCCTAATCATAGAACTGAGACCTACCACAGGTCTTTCCATCTCGCGGGAAGTTATTTTTGGGACTCGCTTCCTACTGATGTAGTGTCGTCATCGTCCGTCGCCGATTTTAAGAGCAAGCTCCACAACCATCTCTCCTCGCTCGAGCTGAGTTTGGTTCAAGGTTCTACAGTGTGCCCTCCTGCTCAATCATAGTTTGTTAAATGGTGCCATGTCATTGCATATATTTAGTTATTGACTTTGCTAGGCTTATTCTAGTCTTAAGTGGTAGGTCTTAGTTCTTTTGCTTAAATTTTCGCGATTATTTTTTAGTTTGCGTACATACCTAGTCGCTGACCTTGCAAAGTTTAAACAAGTTTAAATCAATTATGTGTTTTTCTGTTATAATTTTTGCGAATTGTTTCCTGATTGCGATCTCACTAACTGGTTGTATGCATTGCTTTTTTGCGGCATCTTTTGCGTAGGACGAGTAGCATGTTCTAATATTCTCTTTCTATATATCTCCCTCGTCTTTTGCTGGGGATGCATCACCGGCTCTTCATCATCATTACCATTGCGCTGCGCCCTAGTTCTTAGTTCATATGCACTTTTTAGTTTTTTTTAGTACTTGCTTCTTATCATATTCTATTTTCATTGTACATATTATTATTTAAGTTGAGCAAATTCGTAGTTCACGGCGTATATTATTCAATTCGGCTACATGTTATTACGTTAAAGTTATACTTTACATTCTATTAATTGTTTTATGCTGGATTATTGTTGCTTGCCTTACGAGAGAGAGTAGGAACATGCTTGCGGTCGCTGCCATATGCATTTCACCTGCTTGCTAACCAAGGTTTTTATTTACTGCTAATTGCACATCGGTAGCGATTACACTGCGTCTCGCATCTGTTTCTAGCTTTTAATTATTGTTCTTCATATCTTTGTTTATATATTTGTTTTTGTCTCGTTTATACATTTATACATTTGTTAATTCACAAATAGCCTAAAGTCTTGACTATGGCTTAAATAAAATCAATAAAATCAAATCAAATCAAATCTCTCTTTACTGCCCTCGCTTTGTCATGCAAAGTTCCCAACAGACTTCCAACCTTGTCTCCATTCCGTCGCCGAGCACGCCATCTACTCCGCCTTTCTCCATGCAGCGTGCCAACTCGCCCGCTCACCGCTTCCTTAACGCTCCTGGCACCTCTCCGTTTCTATCATGCCGAATCGCCTTCATCCCTCCTTTCACATCTCTCTCTGCCCTCTTCCTTCTTTGCTCCATTATAACCTTGTTTTCTCGGTGTCTCCCGTTTCTCCGCTTCCATTCCTTATCATCTTTTGTCACCTCCCAGAACTTTCCGCCTCTCCTCTATGTCCTCAGTTTCCTTTTCTACGCAGTTGCGTACCAATCACGCCATCAGGCGGAAAGGAAAGAGCGCGGACTGTGAAGAGTGTCCGCAAGCGTAATGGTCGTGCGAGGAATGTGCGAGAAAGTTTTTGTACAAGCGACATATCAAAAGGTAAAGATAAATCTAGTGACGAGCCCCCACGTAAAAGATCTATTCGAAACGCGTCAAGTAGAACATTATTAAATTTCTTCGAACTGGATTTCGGCAACGCGAGTACACGACCCTGGCGGAAAAAAAACTACGAGAAAGTATGTCATTCCGACAACAAATTATAACTGTCTACAATAAAGTATCCGACAACTCACTCATATTTTAACAAGTTCTAGTTTTTTTGTAGAAAATTTATACAACTATCTAAAATGAGCTACAACCTTATACGAGAAAAAAAATAGTTAGTTGCAGTTTCTCATTTAAATTATAAGTATATCTATGCTAGTTTCTACGACATAGTTCGGACATAAATGGGAAACAAAAAGATGGACGGAGTCATTTATTGTAACTTTTTATAGATAAGTTTCTAAAAAAAATACGACTTTTAACAATTGTTTTTGATTTTGAAAAAAAAATGGAAACAAGTAAGGCAAGATATTTGTAAATTTTTATAGAAGCTACAACTTTGTACAACTTACAGCAACATTTTAAAACTTTATTGAACTTACAAGAGCTAATCAGAGGACGCAGTTTTTCATAACTCCTTATAAATACTACAAGATTGTACCAGAAATTATGAATTTTTACAATTACTAGCCTCCACCAAAAATTTACTACTTGGAGGCATTCACAGTTGTAGACAGATATATAGATATACTTTATTTCACTCCCCTTCCGGGGTTGAAAAGGCGTTTTTTCAGGAAAACGTTCCCAAAAACTTCTACAATCTTTTTATCACCTCCTCTTATCCACACGCATGGCGTATTATAGGGACGTACCCAACCCTTTACAATCTTATAATCTCATCCTAACAAAAACCTGGCCATTGGGCGACCTCACATACTATTTCCTTTCCCCCCTCCCTCTTCTTATCCCTCGGCCATCCTCTTCGACTTCCGTCCTTTTATTCCTTCTGCCTTTTACTTCGCTTTCCGCCCTTCTTCGGATCCGAATTTTTTCCTCTGCTCCTCCTTATTCCGCCCTCTCTTCCTTTCTCTTTCCGTCTTTCCGTTTCACCGCATCTCATTTTCCTCTTCTTCTCGCCTGCGTCCTAATACAGAAAAACATAGCAAACATAACAACATAGCAACCATGACACATATGACCATATCCCTCAGACCATCTTCTCCGGCTTCCATCCTTTCTTTCACTCTGGTTTTTTCTTTTTCGTGTCCCTTTTCCTGTGCCTGCTCCTCATTTAATATGTCATTTATGCTTGGATTTCCTCTTCTTCTTTGTCTGTTTACTTCTGCTTTTTGCTTTTTCTACTTCTTTTTCTGTTTTCTTCATCGCTGCTGTCCTTCGCTGTTTTTCCTTCTTTCCTCAAATCTGCATTCCTTCCTCGGCTCTTCCTTTTCCTATCCTCTCTTCTTTTCTATCTCTATCCAGTCCTTCCACTGCTTCTTCACTTTCCTCTCCTCCGTGCCTGCATTTCTTTTATGTCATTTATGCTTGGAACCTTCAAATCCTTCTCCATCTGCCTCCCTTCTCATCCCATTTTACTTCCTTTCCGTCCATCCATAGCCTCCTGTTAGTTAGGACCCCTGACCTTCCTTTCTTCTCTTGCTTTAACTACCAACCTGTGCCTATACGCTCTCTCCTCCGTCGTAAGCTCCTCGTCGACTCCTACTTCCCATCTTCTTCATATCTCCTCACTCCTTCCAATTATGTTTTCCTTGTCGTCTTCCTCTTCAAGCTCCGTAAATAATACATCCTTCTTGTCCGCACCTGTCACCTCCACGATCCTTCTTATCGGAATTATCTTTCCCATCACTCTTTCCATGGTTGTTTCCACCAGCTCCCTTCTTTCCCTTGGTCCTTCTCCTGTTACTCTCCTCCATATGAGGCTCCTTTTCCTCTTTTCGGCTTTCTCTCTTTCGTCTTTTCGCTCCGCCTCTCTCCCTTTTCTTTCTCTTCTTCTTCCTCTTCTTACTTTCTCCTCTCTGTCTTCCACCATTCGCCACAATCTGCTCCTCTCTGCATCGTGTTCCTTCTCCCCAACTCTTTCCTCCATCCCTTTTTTGTCTTTCCTGACCTCTCTTTTTCCTCCGCTACCTCTGTCCCCCTTCTCCCTCATCACACTTCTCTCTGTCTCGCTCCCAACCCATCCCTTTCCTTTCCTCACCTTTTCTCCTCCTTGTCTGATCGCCGTTCTTTTCATCTTCTCATTGCAGTTCCTCCTCCTCTCACTTGTCCCCTCCCCCTCATTTGCCACTTCCTCTCACCAATCTCTACTCCACCCTTTTTCACTCCATCCTTCTTCACTGCTCTCTCTTCTCTCCACTTCTGACATCTTCTTCATC